CGTGGCTGGCGCCTTAGCCGGTTGAGCTATAGGCGCCGAGCCTGTACGTGTAGTTCTAATCCAACTTTCACATTTGTTATCCTTATAAAATGGGACCAATTTTCTTTTCCCCATTTAAATATAAGTACCTAACCACGCTGATTTGGGAATGTCTCATTCAAAAAGAGTTTCTATGTTCTAAAATAAATATTAGTGTGGCAAATTGCTACTTCTATGTTGATTTTAGATTTAGAGAGGACACAGAGCCCAGGAAAACAGAACAAAGCAAAATGAAGGTGAGGGACACAGGGAAGAAAGCGGTAGACTAAGGCAGATCAGTAGAAGCCAGAAAGCCAAAGGAAAACACAACATGATGCTTTCAGCAAAAATAGTGGGCAAAAGACTTCTGCCTACTGTGCGTTGGTAGCTTAGCATATAACAACTGTAGAAATTGAGTGGTGAGTACATGGGGTTTCATCATACTGGCTTCTCACTTTACGTATATGTGAAATTTTCTGTAATACAATTTTTTTTCACATGGGCACAAAGGCAAAATGTTACCATTTATTGCATCTTTATACAAGATTATACATCTTTCCTTGATAATTAAAAGGAAATTGATATAAAAAGAAAGATGAAAAGAAAAGCTTTCATCTTGGTGGACACTGACGGGTTATGTGTGCATCTGTTTTGTGAATTCAGGCAATTCCTGTTGCTCAGTGAGGTGCCTGGCTTGCTCTAGGAGTCTATAATTCTATAAGGAATAAAGCTGTGCGGACATTTTTCTCTCTATCATGTCAGGAAAACCTGGCAAACACCATAGCTCTTTAAATCAAAGTGTCCATGGTATAGTCGAGCTCCACACCCGCTGTTTATTGGACACTATATTGCTGAGATCCCAGTTTGATTCCTATTTTGACCTGAACTTTTAGCTGGATTAAATCTAGTAAGAGTTTGCAACCAGAGCTGAAGTAGAACGAACTGTTTGGAAGGCAACTCTGGGATTTTGCATAAAGTAATTTAGGCTGGTCTTTAATGCTTGGGAAGTCGGATCGACTCAAGAGTGTATACCTGAATCCATTTTAAATTACATGCTCTGGACTTGGTAAACATCGTGGAATAGTCAAAAGAAATGAAAGACAAAATTTTGCATTGAGAGACTATTAGGAATTAGTGATCAACTCACACAAAATTGCTAGTCAACTGTACATGGCAGAATCATACTAATCTGTGACATTTAAGACAAGACACAGAGGCTGGTAGCTGGGGCTCATGCCTATAGTCCTAGCACTCTCAGCGGCCGAAGTGGGACAATTGCTTGAGGTCAAGAGTTTGAGACCAGCCTGAGCAAGAGTGAGACCCTGTCTCTACTAAAAATGGAAAAATTAGCTAGGCATTGTGGTGGGCACCTGTAGCCCCAGCTACTCAGAAGGCTGAGGCAAAGAGGATTGCTTGAGCCCAGGAGTTCAAGGTTGCTGTGAGCTATGATGACACTATGACACTCTACCCAGGGCCACAGAATGAGACTCTGTCTAAAAAAAAAAAAAAAAGAAGACGACAAGATATAGAAGGGGACCCAGTAGAGGGGAGAAGAGCATGACACGCTATAAGGAGGAGGGGTGGGAACTGGTTCTGAAAGATGGATTTATAGAAGCAGAGAGAATGTGAGGGGGTCGAGTGGTGGCCACACACCCTGGGGGTAGGTATTGGAAAGGAGAATGGAAAAAAGCTCACTAAGAGGAAGAAACTGAGAATAGTAAGTAGAGACAGTACGTATAGGTCTCGGGAAACAGAAAAGAAAGAGGCCAAAGCAGAGGGGGAATGATGGGGTTTTAGGGAGTGGTTAAGACTTCAGTCCCCCAAGACTGGCAGCAGGGAAGGAAGGAAGGCGGGATGGAGGAGGCAGTGTGTAATATTCTGCATTGAAGAAGCAGGTGAGAGCGTGCAGGCAAAATGGCCTCAGCTGCCGTCCATTGAACAGACTGAAATCACCTCCTAAACACGTTGGGAAATAGACTGTGAGCTTGAGGAGACAGGAGCTAGTCTAGAGGTCAGCCACGATTCACACCCACGATTGACACTTTCTCTACCAGATCACAGAGGACCCATGAAGGAAAGCCTTGCTGAGAAGCAAGAAGGCCAGGTTAAAACCTAACATACATTATCCTTTTATTCAACCCATGTTTACTCAACACCTGTCATTGTGCCTTCAGCAGGCATTTAGTTAGCACCCACTGTATGTCAGACTCAAAGACAAATCTACCCACAAAGAATACAGTGTGAGAAAAGAGAAACGTGTGTGTGTGCACAGGTGCGAGTCAAATCTTGGTCCATTCAGTGGGATGCCTACTGGAATGAAGGTTCATCCAGCTGCCGTAACTGGCGTATGAGTAAATGGTTAATTCGAGGAAGACCTCACAGACCAAGCCTTGATGGAAGTGGACCTGAAGGAATGAAAGAAGAGGAAAGGGTGGGGAAGACGGTCTGTGCAGAGGGAATATTAGCATGAGAGAGAGCGGAGGTTCTGAGTGGTCTGGTGGGTAGGGCATGGGAACTGGGGAAGGAATGGAGGCGCCAGTATATTTACCAAACTTACCTCCGACATTCTTAACGCAAAGGTAACAAATGTGGCAGAAATATAAATAAACCCTCGTGGTTGGCAAAAATCTTTGCCTACTTAACACAAGTATATAATATTGGTGACTGTTAAATTTTGCTTTATGTTCCTGTAGTAACTTTTAATGTTTAAAAGAACATTAAACTACCTTTGAGCACTACGAGTACTCGGACATCTCAGGATAGTTGAAAAGCACACATGTCCTCATTTTGGGTCAGTTTTCACTATCTGTTTTGATTTGGGGATAATTTTGAAGCCCTGGTTTTGGAACCTCTCACTTCAATATCATACGTGGTATCGTGAGAGGAATCCCTACTGCTCTGGCTATAATTTCCTCCAATCAGACAAAAAACAAATTTTAACTTCTTATTTTCATTGAATAAAAAATGTTTTGTTTTATTTTGTTTTCTATCTAATGAAACGTATCTGTTTCTAGATGTGGCTTGGATGGGAATTTAGAAGCTGCTATCTGTGAATGTTCCTCATCAAAGTGAGACATGAACAGCCGTCCAGGGGCCGTCTTGGTGCTTTCTTAGATGGAGATACCTTGAGTTTTGCATGCTGGCTGCCCCCCACCCCCAAAAAAACCCTTGTCCTCAAGAAGTCCTGTGCATTTCATTATAGTGGTAGTACCCAGGGATGGAAGTGCTCCAGGCTCTCCATCAGACTCTTCATAATACTTGTAATTTAAATCTGGGCCCTCCAGTTCCCAGCATAAGCAGAATTAATTATATTGTGCTAATTGTGCAGGTATGCGGTCAAACAGCCAATGTTAAAAATTTGATCTGCTCCTAATCCGAATGGCTCATTTACTAAATTGGCCTCTGATTCTCTAGTGGCCTCTTGGAAAATACATCTGGTGTGCTGAAGTTTTTAGAAGAAACATCCTGAAATTTTCTTCTTGGTGAAAGCCCTGTGTGTTTTTTGTTTCTCTTCCTAGCACGTGACTTCTGTTAGTCTCAGAATTGATACTGGAAACTGCAGTATTTGGAAAAGTATTAATAGCACAATAGTATCAGTTCATTCTGAAAAAAATAAAGACGTCACATTAGGTATGCCCCAGGCAGTAAGGACAGAGGGTTTGTGGTTTTTCCTGGTTCTAAATCCAAAGGTATTAGTTGCTTTTTAAATTGAACTCTGGATGGGCCCCTATTTAACCATTTTGGATTCCAGCTGGCTTTTATTTGAATGAAAAATCAGGAAATCTGTTGGGATTACATATTTTATGGTTGTAAACTATTTAAAAGCTATTAAAAACCACATATACTTAACATGCTTCAAAAGGACAGTTTTTATGTTTCTTTCATAACTTGCCTATGATAGCCAAGAAGAAAAAAATCTATACTTCCTTTCTCAGTTTATTCTTCCTCCGGCATTTATACCATGCAGAAATACACCCACATTGTATTTGACAGGGGGAAGGGACCGGAGGGAGGGGAAGAAGCAGTGAGGGTCAGTATATGCCAATGACCCATATGCTGGGGAGGGTGTGGGGTGATCTACAGGCTCTGCCCAGGAGCTGAGCAAAACATACAAACAAGGAAACCCGAGGAGGTAAGGAGTTCTAAGATAGAAAGCCTTAAAACGCTGATAGGCAAGGCTAGTCGGCCCTTCCAGGGGGGTCATCTGTGGGCTGAGCCTCCTGGGACAGAGAAAACAGTTGGGGCGTCTCCTGCACACCCACCAAGCTTTGCCTGCTCCTGGGTGCGTGTCTACCATCAGTGAAGATTATTACTCGCCATTGTTCCTTGGGGGTCGTTATTTTTATCTCGTTAAGAAATTCCTGTGTAGTTTGGCAGAAACACACCTCAATGCTTCACGTGCCTGTCTTCCCTATTTCGAGGTGAATGAACCAAATTGCAGCCTCCTGTTTTCTGATTGGCAGTGACGACTGTGCTGAATTCAACTCAGGCTCCTTGGGTTGAAAACATGCGAGTTTTCATTTGCCTTAATGTGTCGATGTTGACAGACTCAGCCTCCCCCGTTACTTCCTTTTTCAGACAAATGGACACCTCCCTGGGAATGGAGATGTGTATCAGGAAAGGCTGGCACGTTTAGAAAATGATAAGGAATCCCTCGTTCTTCAGGCAAGTGATTTTTAAATGTTGATCTTTCCTCAGGATCTCTTTGCAAGGAGTATTTTAAATTGGATGGCAAATTCAAATGCTTACAGCAACCACACTGCTCATGGCAATGAAGTGCAGTAGGCTCCCTACACAGTAGGGAGCGGTGAGGCCTGGGGCAGACCGAGGGCGTGTACACCCAGCCTAGAGGGACCTGCCCTCGGTCAGCCTCAGCTCATCCAGGGCCAGTCTGGTTAGAGGCACAGGGGCATCTGACCTGACTTTCTTTTTTTTTGAGACAGAGCCTCAAGCTGTCCGCCTGGGTAGAGTGCAATGGCATCACAGCTCACAGCAACCTCCAACTCCTGGGCTCAAATAAGTCTCCTGCCTCAGTCTCCCAAGTAGCTGGGACCACAGGGGCCTGCCACAACGCCCGGCTATTTTTTGGTTGTAGCCGTCGTCGTTGTTGTTTGGTCGGCTCGGGCTAGATTTGAACCTGCCACCTTACTTGTATGTGGCTAGTGCCTTAGCCACTTGAGCCACAGGCACTGAGCCTGACCTGACTTTCTGATCTCATTTGTCCTATGATCTGATTATTTTTAGTATATTTTAATATATAGCAAAATTTCAGATATATGAATATATAGTATAAAAATAATATAAGGCCGGGCACCTGTAATCCTGACAATCTGGGAGGCCAAGGTGGGTCGATTGCTTGATGTCAGGAGCTCAAGACAAGCAACAGTGAGACACCCCCACCCTGTCTCTACTAAAATAGAAAAACTAGCTGGGCGTTGTCGTGGGCACCTGTAGTTCCAGCTACTCGGGAGGGTGAGGCAAAAGAATCTCTTGAACCTAAGAATTTGAGGTTGCCGTGAGCCATAATGCCACAGCAATCTACTGAGGTAACAAAGTGAGATGCTGTCTCAAAAAAAAAAAATCTGAATATATATGTATATATTTCTGAATTTGGGTATGTCTATTTAATTTTCAATATAATACCAGGGGCCAGACAAAACGCAGCAGTGAGTAGAGTCTTGCTTTGGGGCTAAATTTGAGTTTGCTTTATCATAATGTTTTGAAGTCTTGGCAAATATTTTTCTTTGGTATTCTGAGCTCAATGAATTGAAGAGTGTTTACTAGATGGGTAATTATTGAAGAAAAACTCCGAGAGCTGCAGTAAGCACTGAGGTTGAAGGGGTGACCCGGCAACCAGCTCCTCATGGGTGTGTGGAGTCGTGATCAGTGTGATCGTGAAAGAGCTTATGAAATCTGAATCCTCTGCTTTCTTTTTTCCTTATTCTTCTTGAAGTATCTAATTTGAGTAGTCCTTGATAATTTCTGTTACAAACATGAACTTCATTTCTTCTCTTAACCTCTAATACTATTTCCCTCTTCCTCCTCCCCCCAAAAGATAATTTATATGCACACTCTCGTAAATAGTTAAAATGATTTATCCTATAAAGTATTATATTCCCTAATAAATACTTTTTCTAAAATTATATAGGACTCTTTAGATCAAAAAACAACTTGTAGATAGGAACACAAAGGACTGCTGTTTTCTTGTTAATTTTAAGATTTTTTTTTTTCTTTCTGGCCATAGGGGCAGTGGGATCATTCTGGTTTTTGTCCCTTTTAGAGAAATAAAGTATACAATAGGACCCAAATTCTTTCTAACTCACTGCTGTATTTCGCTGCACACACAGGTAAGTGTGTTAACAGACCAGGTGGAGGCTCAGGGGGAGAAGATCAGAGACCTGGAGTTTTGTCTGGAAGAGCACAAAGAGAAGCTGAATGCCACCGAGGAGATGCTGCAGCAGGTGCGTGCCGAGCTGCCCCCGGTGGGTGACGCTGCGCTTCTGTCACGCCTGCCCTGACGCAGCAGCAGATTTCAAGATTCACTGGGAGTAGAACATTTTATGCAAAAATCTAGACTAGTACCGTCGCAAAACCCACAATGTAAAATGTTTAGAATCTGGAATGAAGCAGTAATAGGATGGAGGCTATTTTAATTTTCTTTTTCCTTTGGGGGGGGGCATTTTCTAACTCTCAACCAAAAACTTATATTTTATGGTTAAGAAAAGACAAGCAGCACCACATACAACCTTTGTTATTGGGAAGAAACTCACAATCTACGTGCACACACACACACACACACACAGAGGAGAGGCTCTGGAGCACAGTGGACGGTGTCTCCACCGGAGCAGAACTGCTCAGGTTTCAATTCCTGCTCTGCCAGATCCTGGCTGTGTAACTTTTGGCAAATGCTAAACCTTTCTGTTCCTCAGCTTCCTCCTCACTTCAATAAAGACAGTAAGAGTTTCTACTGTGAGGATTGAAGCACTGTATGTCAGAATAGTGCCTGGCACGTAGTAAACATCATATCATCATCATCAATGTCATTATCAGGCTTAAGCACATAAGGTTCTCACCTAAAGGTCACATGTAAGGGTGTATGGCACACCTCCTGGGTGAGGGGCACAATTATAACAGGGACCTTACGTAACAAATGCAAACATTGTAACATTTGTACCCTCATATTAATCTGAAATTTTAAAAAAAGGAGTAAAACATTCAGTTGTAGGGGGAAAAAAGATATATGAGGTTTATATATGAGTGTGTATCTATCCAATATGTCTTTCCCGATAAAAGGACATGTGTTTATTGATGCCCCAAGATGGGTAGCTAAAGTAAATAATTTTTTAATGCATATATTTGGTAATCGTACTTTACTGTATCCTCAATTTGATGGTAACTTCTTTGCGATCATAAATGAGACAAATTCACATGTGTCTGCTTCTAATAAAATGATTTTGAATGTATCTCTTAAATTCTAATAGGAACTTCTGAGTAGGACCTCTTTAGAGACTCAGAAACTAGATCTGATGGCTGAAATATCTAACTTGAAGTTAAAACTGACAGCTGTGGAGAAGGACAGATTGGATTATGAAGACAGGTTTAGAGACACAGAGGTAAGTGGCACTGTCTCTCTGTCACTCTGTCTTGCCTGCCTGTCTCTTCCCCCCCCGCCCCGCATCCTGTACATATTCCTAGGGCAAAACTGAAACTCTTTGGAGGTGTATAGGGGAGGTAGTTAATTGCTATATGCCTTCATCCTACTTCATTTTCAGAATAAACTTTAATTACATTGACTTCTCATCACTAAATGCAAATGGAAATTTTTATTTAAAAACTTTGATATGAAATAGTAATCTTCCGAGACCAGGCACGGTGGCACACTCCTGTAACCCCAGCACTCTGGGAGGCTAGGGGCAGGTGGATCGCCTGAGCTCACAGGTTTGAGACCAGCCTAAGCCAGAGCAAGATCCTGACTCTAAAAATAGCTCAGTGTTGTAGCGGGCACCTATAGTCCCAGCTACTTGGGAGGCTGAGGCAAGAGAATTGCTTAAGCCCAGAATTTGACGTTGCCGTGAGCTGTGATGTCACGGCACTATACCCAGGGCGACATAGTGAGACTCTGTCTCAAAAAAAAAGATCTAATTGTAATGGAAAGTCTTGGTTTATATCTTACTTTCCTCGGTAGCAAAAGGAAATCTCTAACTTGGATCATGTTTTAATCTCAAAGCTCTTTGTCAGTCACCTGTCTGAGCGTGTTTCTCCTTCCATTGATACTGGGGGCTCTTAAAGTAAGATTAGAAAATCACTCGGGTTTAAAATTCTTGTTTTGTGCTTTCTTTACAAAATCGCTCTGATGTTTTCCTCTTTCCCCTCCTTTTGTCATTTGCATGGTCTAATAGTCAATATGAAAGGTAGTAACTCAGTCGGCAGACAAACAACACAGCAGCGGAGCTAACTCTGCTATAGGGAAGAAAGAATAGTGGCTGGGCAGAGAGTCGGCCTTCTCCCCAGTGGACTTCCCCGTTACATCTCAGGGAAGTCTCAACCTGTGTAAGACGTTAACCAAATAACTGTTTGCAGTGCATCTTAGTAGATTTGTTTGTTTTGGGGGGAATTTTTTGAGAAGTAAGACTTCAGAGTGATATTTACAGCCCTTGAGTTTAGTTTTTTTCCCACTGCTTCCTTCCTTCATTCGTGTATTCCCAATCTCATTCAGAGTGAACTTGTCATCAAACTTCCAGGAAACTCAGCACCTCATCATTTTCTAATAGAAATTCAACACTGCTGGTAAAACGTAGTATGCACATCCCTAGAGATTATAGAATAGTTGATAAACTTTGTAATGTTAAGTATGAAAATAATTAAAATCGTCCTCAAAGTTAAAACTAAATTTGATTATTCTTATTTTCCAGTATTGTTCCCTTAATGAAAGCAGAATATTTTCCTGGATATTTCGTGAATGCAGAAATCTTTGTGTAACAATTTTAGATTATTTTGATGTTAACATCTAAGAAAATACTGTCATGGGGAAGAAGTATAGGCATTTCCAAAGGATTGGGAGTAAAAGTCTTTTAAACCTTGGAAGATTCAGGCCTTGCCCAGGAGTTGTGGATGGGAGTTGTGTAGCATTACTCTCCAGTGCCCCCTTGTGGTAAGAGCACACATGTCCGAGATGGAGTTCTTCGGGTGCCCTGGAGAGTTCTCTGAAAGGGAAAAGGGAATGGGGAATTTTCTTTTGCAAAGGAGCTAAACTTTTGATAAACTAATTGAAATAATCCGTATTCTGTTTTTTAATTCTCAAGAAGGAACTATTTCCAGACATTCCAGCTTGAGATGTCATGGGAAGATAAGACTTTTTTCAGGTTGGAAATCTGGATTCATTTTTAAAGTGTTGCCGTAAAAGATAATTAGGTAGTTTTTGTTTGTTTGTTTGTTTTGAGGCAGCCTCAAGCTATCCGCCTGGGTAGAGTGCTATGGCATCTCAGCTCACAGCAACCTCCAACTCCTTGGCTCAAGTGATTCTCCTGCCTTAGCCTCCCAAGTAGCTGGGACTACAAGCGCCCGCCACAATGCCTGACTATTTTTTGTTTTTTTGGTTGCAGCCGCCATTGTTTTTGTCAGACCCCGGCTGGATTCGAACCTGCCAGCTCAGGTGTATGTGGCTGGCGCCTTAGCCGCTTGAGCCACAGGTGCCGAGCCTAGGTAGTGTTTTTTTAATAGAAAAAAGATTCCAGTTTGTAATTCCATTTTCTTCAGTTGTTTCTTCTTTGCAAATTGCCACTATTTCTGAAAGTGGTAAAATATAACTCTGTGTGTGTGTGTTGTGGATACATGTTTACATATACCCCGTATTGATGAAGGAAAATCACTAAGGACTCATTTTGCAAAGATGATTCGTCTAAATGAATGGCTTTTTAAAAAAACTTGAATTCTAAAAAAGAATAATAATAATAAATAAAAACTTGAATTCTGAACCCACAAATAAAGTGTTATTGAATATAGTCAAACAGTTCTTGACCCCATTCATAATAGGAAAAAATAGATTTCCTCTTATTGAAATATTACATAATTATTAATGAGCAATTACATAGTAATGGTAGGTAATACTTTTCCCCATTTTGCAAGATTTAAAAGCCTGTGGATTGGGCTGGTGTGGTGGCTCATGCCTGTTATCCTAGCACTCTGGGAGGCCAAGGCCAGTGGATTGCTTGAGCTCGGGAGCTGGAGACCAGCCTGAGCAAGAGTGAGACCCTGTCTCTACTAAAAATAAAAAGACTAGCCAGGCATTGTGCTGGGTACGTGTAGTCTCAGCTAGTCAGAAGGCTGAGGCAAGAAAGAGTATTACTTGAGCTCAAGAGTTTGAGGTTGCTATGAGCTTTGACACCATGGCGCTGTACCCAAGGTGGCAGAGTCAGACTCTGTCTCAAAAAATAGATAAATAAATAAATTCACCCAATGTTAAAAAAAAAAAAAAGAAAGCCTATGGGTTTACTAGAAAGTATATTTCCTTAAACCATCTCTTTTCCTAGTGTTTGTGGGCTCAAATCATTATACTTGAAAGTTTAGAATAATCCCTCTTCACGACGTTTTACTCCTTATAGAATTCTTTTGCACTCTTATAAAATTATCTCATGTAGTTTATGAATTTGTGGCCCAGGAATAAATGTCCTTTAAAAAGAGAGGAGTAAAAACATATTGAGCATTGGAGGAATTTTTATTGCTTATTGTTAAAAAAAAAAAACAAAAAACCATCTCCTACACAGAGTATTTGAACTTCTCTTTTAGGGGGGTTGTGATTGTTTAGCACTCTTATTGGTTTTCCTGCTCTCTGGGCTCTGGACAAAAGTATGGGACCATTTCTCGTAATATTTAGGCAAGTTTTTAGTTTTTTTTTTTAAAGGTGACAGTAGGGAAGATGTCAAATTGTATTGTGTCATAAAAACATTAGGATAGCTTTTTCTTTCATTGTCCAAATATAAAATTTGGAAATATATTATGATACTGAATACGTGTGTAAACTACAGGGCTCTCTTCCACCTTTACGTTGAGAATCTGGCTTAAAGGGTTTAAATTTTATTCCATTCACCCAAATTGAGTTGATGAGCAATCTGTGTTTTTGTCTATAAGGGAAGAAATTATTAAAAATATTTACATGGGGGAGGCACCTGTGGCTCAAAGGAGCAGGGCACCGGCCCCATATGCCAGAGGTGGTGGGTTCAAACCCAACCCTGGCCAAAAACTGCCAAAAAAATTCATAAATACCCATACATCACTGAAAAGTCTCTAAAGGTAAATGGCTTCATTAAAGAATGTGGCTTATTTTAAAAGGTAGAGTTCATACAGTCAATTTTTGTCTAGAAATATCTGACAAATGATAGGAAGTCAGACATTAAGGTACCTTTTGCAATCAAAATGATGGCCACCTTTTATTTTCATAAGCCCATCCTTTTAGGTCAGAGGCATTGGGAATTCAAAGCAATGTTTTAAATGGAAAGATGCTTTGGTTTTTAGGAGGTATATTTATTTCTAAGAAAATACATTTATTTCTTTCATACAACTTTAACTTAAGAGCTATTGACCTCTTAAGATTTCTAAGATGCTATTTTGGTATTGATTTATAGTCCCCAACTACACACACATCCCCCTCACCCCATGACACAACAGGAGGTGAGCATTGAGCTTTCTCTGTAGTTACAGCCACTGCCTGTCAATCACATCACCACCTGAGCTCTGCCTCCTGTCAGATTAACATGGCATTGGATTCCCAGAGGAGCCCGAACCCTACTGTAAACTGCTCATGGGAGGGATCTAGGGTTCGCCGCTCTTTATAAGAAGCCTGATGACCGGATGGCAGTGATGCTAGCACTGGGGAGCAGCTGCAAATACAGATTCTCATTATCAGAGAAGTTTGACTGCCTAGAACCACAATCTATCAGTTGCTTGCAGAGTTGCATCAGAACCAGGCCCCCTGGGTCTATGGAAAAATTCTCTTCCATGAACCCCGTCCCTGGTGCCTAAAAGATCGGGGTCCAGTGGTATAGATGACTGTGTTACCACCTTCCTAATGGGTTTCCTTGTTTGTTTTTGGACAGGGGCTAATTCAGGAGATCAATGACTTGAGGTTGAAAGTCAGTGAAATGGACAGTGAAAGACTTCAGTATGAAAAAAAGCTTAAATCAACCAAAGTAAGTTTTCCCTATGGTTAAATTTTTCAAACAAATGGCTCTCCTGCTCATCTATAACCAGTAATATAAGTAAAATGTTTTCTACTTAGTATTTGATGAAGAAGGTATTTTGTAAGTGAATGAAGTCTTCCCCCAGGCTGTAAGTTCTGGAATTTGATAAATACTTTCTGTTCTGAGTAAAAACCAAGGCTTAACTAATCAGACAGAACATTTCTCTGAGTGATATCTAACCTCCTTTGAAAACTGATGTGATTTTCTTGGTTATTTAGCCTGTCTTTTTCTATCTGTAGTTTTCTTTCACTCCTCTGTCTCTCTACCAGTCTTTAATGGCCAAACTTTCTAGCATGAAAATCAAGGTGGGTCAGATGCAGTATGAAAAGCAGCGGATGGAACAAAAATGGGAGTCACTGAAGGTGTAGTAGACCCGGGGAGCGGGATCCGTGGCCTGTCGCTTTCTGGCTTGTGTCGTTTTTTGCCGTGATGGTGTTTTTAGTGGCGTGTGCATTCGTTTTGTGTGTGTGTCACCTATTTTATGAAAAATACCTTTCAAGCTGATTAAAGAGACAGGGTGATGCCTACTGATTGTTTTCAAAAACATATGAAATAGGAAAAAAATAATAGACAAATAAAAGGATTAATTTCTAAATTAAACCTAAGGTCTTAGATGATAGGGGACCCCAGCATGGTAAAATAATTGTAGAAGCTCAGCTATGAAAGAGTTACAGAAACTGCTTTCCTCCTCAGGGACTTACCTGAGGGTAGGTGTACAGCAGTTTACTATATCAAGGCAGTGAATAGAGACTACTGCCTAGAAACAGTATTGTGAGAAGAGGGCAACCCTTCTTACTAGCACTTCTGAAAATTTCTTACACTACTGTAAGTCAACCTAGTTTTTCTGGAGAGCTGTGTTTTCATGCAATACTGTATGTAATTATCTTTAGAGACCTTTGAAAATACAACAGCATATAGACTATAAAGGCATTGCACGGCTCTGTTGGTTGTGTTAAATGTAGCCAACAAAATGTAAATTTGCTAAGGTGAATACTAAAATGAAACTGAACTAATTAAAACTTTAGTAAACCGATCCATGGGCTTGGAATCTTTTACAGTTGCATAGTTAAAAAAAAATTAGGAGGTCTTAAAAATCTGTTTTCCTCAATTAATTTTTTTCCGACTGTTGTAGGAGAATCTGTTCTTTGATCATAATGATGAAGATGAATTATTTATTTCTGAGATTTGGCTAAAGTTTTTCGTGACTTGCTGCAGTATCCACTAATCAAGTTCTGTGCTTGTTAAGAAGCACAAGGGCCCCTTGAAATGCTGAGTAACTGTCAAGCAAGTCTTTTTCAGTTTGCATTTTATTTTGCTTGTATGACACTAAGTAACTAATTTGATTATCTTCCTTGGTTAACTTATTTTTTTAAATTATTTAACACAAGATTTAAACTTGAGGGTTCCTCTGGCTCTAATTGCACTGTAAAAGATTTGTTTCTACTTTGATCACAAAGAAACATGAAATAATTATACCATAACTTATAAATTGGACTTATGGTAATAGTTTTGCTTCCTGCTTCTCATTGCCTTTGATTTCTGATGTTTGTGTCTGAGCTCGTGTAGATTCTTGCTGCATCCATAAAATCCAATTCTTGATTTAAAGAGCTAAGATGCTTGCTGAATGTTCTCTTACTGTAATAGCCTGTTATTTTACAATGAATTTATAATTTGTAGGATGAACTGGCATCTTTAAAAGAACAATTGGAAGAAAAGGAATCTGAAGTTAAAAGGCTACAAGAAAAATTGGTTTGCAAGATGAAAGGAGAAGGGATTGAAATTCTGGATAGAGGTAGGAACATAAATTTAACATTTGTTATCTAACTTGTCAAAATCCTCCAAAATCTGTAGGAAAAAACTGATGCTAGTCAATATGTAATTTTAGTGTCAACGAAAGAGTAGCAGAAGCCAGTTGTGTTCCACCTTGGGGGACTTCCCACCTTGATTCTTTACCATGCCGGGGAGTCCATTCACTTCTTCTTCAGCAGAAGGAGGACAATTCTGTGCTTTATTAGGTGGTCATTTTAGATTGCTAAATTGTAACTTCTCATCCAAAGAATATACTCGTTCAAATAGCAACATAAGGGGATGTCAAAATAATTAAAAGGAATTATTACTATGTCCCAAGACTGTTTCCTTTGGAACTAAAATTGAGATCCGTTCAAGTAAGAGACTCAGAAGTCTGTCTTGTTCCTTGGCGAGAAAAGAGGAATGGTTCTGTATCTTTGGGAAATTACTAAAAATTTCATACCATGGGTTCAGCCTTAGCCATCTAGAAAGCAAAAATAGAATAGTTCTGCAAGATAAACTAATGTATGAGTTATATCCCATTTTTTCATGGCTGAGGAGGTTCTGAGTATGGTATAAACCAATGTTTTTCAACCTTTTTATCTCACAGCACACTTGAGCCTACAGTTAAATTTCCGTAGCACATTTAAATTATGTTGATCAAAAAAAAAAAAAGGTAAAAAAAAAAAAGAACATACTCACTGTGTTTTGAGCTTATTTTGAAAATAATTTAATTAATGATCTTGAAAAATTTTCACAGCACACCTAAGGTCCTCTAAAGGCACAGTTGTGTGCCACAGCTCACCAATTGAAAATCACTGGTATTGACTATAGTTTCTAATAATGTACCTTATACATGATGGACAATACCTTGATTGAAATGTGGTTTTTAAAAAATTATATTTGGGGTCCTGCCTATGGCTCAAGGAGTAGGGCGCCGGCCCCCTATGCCAGAGGTGGTGGGTGTAATAACTTCTTATACTCCGTAAGTCTAATTTTAATGGGAGAAAATCAAAGTTCAGAAAGATGGTATGACACGGTAGCTTGAATTTAAGTCTTCTGATTAATCGCAATACATTCTCTTTCCAACCCCACACAGAGCATGATTTATTGGACTGCCAGTCCTAAAGTCACAACAATAGTGCTTAATATTCAGCTTTTATGAGGTTAGAGTTCCCTCTTTTTAGGTAAAAGGAGACCAAATAATAGTGCTTTGAAAATATTATTTATTGTTGTGATTTATGCTAACTTCCACTTCGATGGGTTTTCCTGCACAGATGAAAATTTTAAAAAGAAGCTCAAAGAAAAAAGTAAGGTTTTGGTGTATTTCCATC